TGTTTTAAAAATAAAATTGAATGATTTAGATAGACGATACCAAAAATATTTTTATGTTTGTCATTTTTTTTTAGAGATATGGAGGTCACGTTCATATATTTAAATAGAATCACCATTTTCTAGATACCTACCATGATAGTCCTTTTCATTAGGAATTCAGTGACTATAATTATTCAAGATCATTCGAGGTCATGGTCGGTATGAAAGCAGAACACGTTTATTGCAAATGAGACTTGTAGAAAACATTCACTACCAGACTACGCGTAGTACTTGTTTACAATAAGTCTCACTTGCGATAAACGTATTCTGCTTTCGTACCGACCGTTACCTTGAATGACCTTGAATTAGCGCCTGACAGTGATAGCAATCATGATGTAAAAACATAAGGAGTGTTCTTCCGGCGTGTTTAAACGTGTCGCTGTTTGCGCCTTCCACTCATCGGCCATATTGGAAGTACGATGACCTATCGTTTAGTTCAAACACGCATATATATTACACTCCGAGAACCTAATTTTTGACATGTTTACGATTTTTAAATTCGCTCTGTTTTAATATGAAGCGTGATTGGTTAGAAATCCAAAATGGCCAGCGAATGGAAGTGTTCGTGTATAGATGGATGTTCAAATGGATGCGCAAGAACACACCTTATATTCTTACACCATGATAGCAATCATGGTAGAAATACGTAAGGTAGTCTTTCGATGGTACCATTTTCATCACTTACTGCACATTCCATACGAAGACCATATCGAGAAATGAATACTTATTGTGTTCAGAAATAAAAGCTGATTAAAACGACATAAATGCCAGGCTGCAGTGTTAAAAGTTGTAAAAACTGGAATGGTAACACTGGCAGTTCCAATCAGTTACGTAATTACAGGCCTTAAGTATTTCCACCATGATAGTAATAGCAGAATAAACAAATGACACTGCCCCAAAATTTATAAATTCCATATCAAGAAACATAGTGGTAAAGGTTTGATTTAAGAAGGATTAGAGTATCGTATTTACTTCGTGAGTAATGAAGTATTGGAAATAGTTGGCAAATCCCTCGTTCAGCCAAATATATTTCCACCATTTCGGAGTGACCAAATCACCGAACCATTGATGAATGAGTTCGTGAGCGATGATCATGAGTATTCTCATCTTCGTGCGGGTTGTGGATAAAGCCTTGTCGTAAAGGAGAGTACCTTCTCTGAAATGGAAATTAAAGTTCAAAGGTGTCCAGGCCCATTGTTAACGACTAGATTCAACGAAAAGTCACCACTGTAACATCTACACTTTTTATCTAAAACAGTATTACATTGAAACATTATTTGAATAATATATTTTCTATTATAAGAAATCGATGGAAGAGGTGGGGCGAAGAGGTGCGTCGTATGCTTGTGATCATTGATAGAAAGAAAATAGCATTATTTGGGACTGAATTACCATAGTCCTATTTTACAAGAGGGATGGATATTAAGAAAACGAAGTAGCGAGCGCATCTTGAAATACTGCTTGTGGGAGGGGAGAAACTTGTTCAAGGGATTAGGCCAACACAAGAAATGGCAGAAGAGAACAAGGATGACGAGACAGAAGGGGAACTGAAGGAATTGATCAAAGTGTTGAAACATATGAAAAATAGGAAAGCGACGAGGGAGGGGATGGGATAAGAGTACAATTCTATCTTAAGTGAAAGAAGACAAGAATGACTAAACTGACTAACTATATTTCCTATTATAATAGTGCAGGTAAATGTACTAGCCGTTTCTATATTTATATATTTGCTTGTCCAAAGTGAAATCTATGTAATGATTTAGAATGAAATAAGCATAATATTTGGAATATTATATTATAAGTAATTATTAAATATTTAAAAACTTGAACGTGGATAATGTGCAACACGTTCTAGCAGAAAATTAAAAGATCAACCATTCTTAATACTGCGGACATTTATACAAAATACGACATTTGTTTTGTCTTGTAAATTTAAAAAGTAAAATCTGGATTGAAAATTCTTTTACCATTTACAAATAACGATCTGTATTACACATTCTACAGATTCTCTTCTTCAGACTTTTGCATGTCGCATGCATTCATTATATTTCCGGTACATTTAATTTTTGTATGTATGCATAAAATCCGTAGTCTATCAATGATAATAAATTAGCATTTCGCAATTCAATTGTACAATTTGATCAAATGATTCATTACAAGGAGCGGAGAATCGCGAGTATTTTTTTAATTCAGTACTAACTATTTCCTTATTTTTCCTTTCAGATCGATAAGCAATAAAACCTGTTACATTTTGATCGCGATGTTCGTCGCTTGTAAATACCTGAAAATCACGAAACCCCAATTCTCCATAGCGCCGACCGGGAAATCCTTCTCCGCAATTTGATCTAATTTGTCTGGCATATATGTCTGGTACGAAATATTCATGTACAAATTCAGCTCTTCTAGAAGCTCCCTACCCATTTCCAAAGCGTAGTCAACATGCTTTATCATTGTTTTCCTCGTCCATACCCTATAGGTGAAGTTGCCGTCTTTATCTACCTTAAATTCATAATTGCTTACAACGAATGCTACCAAATAAGTAGACATCAGTCGGGTTTCTTTGAACGAAGTAGTTATCATGTCATCTTTTTCTTCTTTTTTCAGTACGTCCGTATTAGAGATCGCTTGAAGTGTCTTATCGTGCGTCAAACTGATGTCGAACTTCGCCTTGTAGGCGGGCTCGTCCCAACATGGGAACGCTAGTCGAGCGTACGTCGGCTCGAAATAAGTCGTTGCGATATACCCGCTAAAATGTAAAAAAGTTGAATTCTTTGTCACACGTCTCTTGTTTTCCTTTGTAAATTCTAAAGAATTTATGCTCGTTAATAATATTAGTAACAATAATAATGATAATAATAATAGTAATAATAAAGCTTCCTTACACTACTTGGCCCCTTTGTATGACTTGGCTCCTATAAAATCCTTTCGACTTGTCGTTCAAGATTCCATTGTATTTTATCTGAAGCGAGTAGTGATGATCCTTTTCAAACTGGGGTTTTATCGTAATGTTCAGGATCTCGTGTTCTTCGTCCATTAGGTACTCATTCTCCAGAGTCTTCGTTGTATTCAAATCCACGAATTTAACGTTGTAGATTGACAAGTACTTTGAATTCAACGTCAAGATATTGTTCGTGGTCAGCGCTATTAACGTGATGTCTACTTCACCCTCAAATGTGAATTTTACCACATCAGGCTTGAAGTGTAATTTGTATTTGGTCGGTATCACTACGCCGGACGGCAGCCGGTAACTTAAGTCCACTTGGTCTTCGTCGGTATTTCCGAGCACGAAACTCGCCTGGCAAACTCCCAAGACGAGGAGAAACGTTACGAAGGTTCTGGTCATTTTAGATTCGCTGGCCACGTTCACTATCCAACATGCACCGCCGATTCCTAGTTTATATTGTAATTGCTGTTTAATGAGACAATATTACCAAAAACGTTTCACCTTTTAATACCTCGGACCGTTGAGCACGCGATATTTACTAACTTACTTTCAGTGGTATATAATCACTTGCCGCGTTCCGCGTATATATTCAAACGGATAAATACAAACAAGGAACCATTCGCGCATTACGATAAATTTCCGACTTTTATCTCTTTAACTGTTATACGTATAACTTGCAAGTATTTATCAGTGCCGAGTTAGAAAATAATAATTTTAACTAACAGCTGGTACCGGTCGGAGAATCGCACGATTACAAATTCGACCTCCTTTTCGTTCTGTTCAATTATCTTCTGAAATCGTTCGAAGTATAATAAGTAATTGGCTTGATAATGTACTTTGCGAACAAGCGAAGACCGAAATTCGACTAGCGTAACAGGGGTGTATTTGCACGTCGGCGACGTACGACAGATCACACATTTACAGGTGTCCCTGCTATATAAGGTGGCTACGGTGGGGTAATTAGTGAAATATACTTGAATTTCATAATCTCATCAATTGACATTGTCGCGATCTACGTTATTATATTGTCCCCGCATCGGTTATGTAGTAAAATCATGCTCCCGTCGTTATAAACTATTCTTTGAAGATAGCCATTCATTTTATCAGATGCATTCGATGAATTTTATATGGAGCACGCAATACATTTTAGGTTGAAATCGTGGGGACACCAAAAATTCATTCTTTTGTACGAATTTTCACATACATATCTTATTATAGATTAGTAAATCTACTTTGATAATTTCTGGAAAGAGTTATGTCGTGTATCACTAATTATCCCTTAGCCTGATTTACGACGATAAATATTATCGTAATCGGTCAACATTACATGTGAGATAAATAGATTTCTTCTGTTCTCCAGTTTTTACATATTGTACCTCTTGAATAGTGAGACGTTATTTGGATTTATCAATGATGATTTATAAAATCTCATTTAGTATTTAAGGTAAAAAATATGAATATGTGAAACAGGGAACAACAATTATACTGTACGACAGACAATTTTTTTCCAATATCCAATAGATAATTCTTATAAACTCGGGAGATTTTCCCCGCGTTCACCTCATTCGTGAATAGTTTCCAAT